GTCTGTCTTGGGACACCGATCGAGGTGCCTCGAGCTGGCTCGCGTTCCCGTGCTATATAGTTTTTCTAGCCGCGTTTTCAATGCGGTATAGAAGGCTCTCGTTTGTGTAGTTCTCACGTTGTCTCGTGATTCAGGAAATTCTATGGATTTTGTGTGTGTTCCGCAGGTGTAGTGCAGTGCCTGCCTCTGAGTGTCCTCTGGATACACTTTTCTGTCTCTTACTGACCCTGTCGATTGTTTCGCACGATCGTCAATTCTAGTAATTGCATAATATTCCGACAATATACCAGCTACTTATGCTATAGTTGACTCGAAAAGCCGGATGGTTAAACCTCGCATACTGCTGTCTTGAATTTGACGGCATATATGACATTTGACATATAGATATGGTTATACATGACTCTACACAAGGATGCACAGTGTATTGATAATAAAATTGTGCGTCTAGTAACGTAATTTGTTATCTTCCGCCGCATCGTGAGTTTCAAGGCCACGTTAATCGGCTCTATTACACTGTACTGAGTTGTAATGTTAAATTGAACTTTGGCGAGACTTGCGAGCTAATATGGATATACACTTGATATTGAAAAGGAATTAAATTTCATGATCGTAACCGCTGGTGCCAATGATAATGTTTACACATTTTTTATCTTGTGAAATATGTTAAATGATATCATAAAAACAGGTTGAATTCAATATGAATGAGCTTTACGTAAGTGTCGCGTGCATGCTGTCACTCGTGGTTTGTAGCGACACGTTACAACACGTGACACTTATGTGAAGGCAGTTGTTCTTTTTATCTTTTTCCCGTCGTTCGTTCTCATTGACAATGACGGTGTGTACGGGCGTTTCATAATTTTTGTTGCATTTATTAAATTGATCGTTTGTTCACATTGCACATGATCCTGGTGGATCTTCTTGTGGATGTTCTTGGATTATGGTGTCGTAATTGGATTGACAGAGTTGTGTTGACACTGCTTTGACAGGGCTGTTGAAATGAGATAAATTATCTCCTGGTGCTGTCATCGCTCGTTTAGTATCGTTTATTTTTCACTAATGGAGATCGGCTACATGTCGGACAAGGTTATGAGATAGTTTTAAGACGACTGGTTTTTTAAACAGTGCGCACGAGACGCCGTGAAAGAAAATATTATTTTGGTTTGAATATCATTTCGGAGATCACGGGAAGAGAAATCGAGAGAATTTTGTTCGTGGCTTTAATGGAGAGTGAGAAATGTCAAGTACGAACTGAATGCTTGAAATCTGCTATTAATATGCAAAACGTGTACATATCGATGTCTCGAGAACCGGTTAATCGTAATTTGTTGTGTAAATGTCATTGATGAAAGAACGACAGCCAATAATTGAGTTTCTTCTCGAACTGGTTAATACTGGTCATTCGATCGTTTAGGTGAAATGTCAAGTAGAGTGATATTAATAGACAGACATTCGATAGACAGGAGAAAATAATGAATTTTCTCAGTGTGTATATTACCTGAATTTCCTATGAGGTTCACGATTTTCTGTCTAGGTGTCGTCTTTCTCCTGGTCTTTGAATGCACACGTAACTTTTTCACCACTCGGTTGGACTTGAACGAGAATCTGTCATCGTTAACATCATTTAAGAAATTGTACTATTACGGCGAAAATTTCACATGATTTCTATAAATATTTCCTCGCCTTTTCCAACTTGTTTTCCTCTCGGCAGACATGCCATCCATTTGATGTTTTGCGCAGCCGCGCGAATTTACGGCGTCCTCTCGTGTTAATCACTGTAAACTACACTGATGGTAGCAAGCATCGCCCATCGCAAATGCAGGTTTCTACTGTCGACCATATTGTTGCATATGGAGCACTTGCGACTGCAGATACATTACCCGTTATTGGTTTTATGCAATGAAAAATACTCGACATTCATTGGAGCTCGACTGCAATTGGTGAAAAAAAGATACATAAATTAGGTATATTACGAGATAGGTGTCACATAAGTGGAGGTCCGGTCACCCATAGATTCGGTTTACGTGTGTAACAGTAACAGCTGTATCAACTTACAGGTGGCAGCACGCTCGATGACGTGCCAGTAAGTCAGATTCAGCCAGTAGGAACCCAGGGGATGCCTGGTCTATTTATCTTCAGCCAACGATTTAACATATCTGCAGTGGTCGATATTTTACCAACAGTTTTTACTAAATTAAATGACAGATTCAAAGCCATGGATTATATCGGATTATTTAAATATGAAAATGCAGTATTATACATTTTTTAATCATTTTATTGTAATTGAAAAACCATACATGTTTTATGTACACAAGACGTTTGTAAAATAGCATGTTAATTCAAACATTTTAAAATAATTATTCTACGTTACTACAATTATTCTTAACGCTATATCGGGTCGTGGAAAGTATCTATAAAACGCATTGTATTATAAGGCACGACGGTGAAACCAAACGTTTTAAATGAACGAAATTAAACGTAAATCAATGAAATTAAACTTAAATTTTAACCACAGAGCGCAAATATCAGTACCAGAAAAACAAAACAGTAACAATTTGTGATACTGTTATCTGAGTTCCGGACATTCACGATATCTGTACCAGGTGACAATGCATATGAAAATATTCGTGAACCGAAAATGATAAATCAGCAAATAATATCATTTGGCATTCTCATTTGTCCCTGTTACAGCAATAGCGAATCGTCCTTGTTACGAACTGAAGCTCCAATCAAAACATTTCCAGAACAATCGAGTGAACTGTAACGTACAACTTGTCACGCTTAACGAATAAGAGGTAACATAGGTAATTGTGCAACGTAACAATGAACAATCGTCGCTAATAACATTTTAACGTGTTAACGGTTAACGGGTAAGTATACGAACAAATCGATTTTTTTTGGAAAATACAGTCAACTGTTTTATGCAATTTGCAACACAGTAAAAATATCTAATGGCAAGAAGATAATTTTTTAATGTATCTTTGAGGTGAATTTTGGTAACATTCATCTTTTTTTTTTTAATTTTGGATTATTGATCGTAACGCAGTGTAATTTTAACGTTGATATTTAACTGTGTCAATTTTGGATAACGAGAAACATTAACGATTAACAGTAACTGATAATGGCAACAATAATGATTTAACGTAATAGATTAATCGGTGTAAAACAAATTTAGATCGCAGTTAACATTAACATAAACAATGCGCCGTAACATGGAATTTCGGTAACGGATAACTGTAACACCGCAGACTGGACAGTGCAAGGATACGTATAAGAATGAAGTTTTTTAGAAAAATTGTTAAAAAAATTTGCGGAATATTTTGAAAAAAGTATAAGTCAGTGAAATCATGAAAAATTAACTGTTTCGCTATTATTTCATGAATTGGTGAATATTAGATACGTACACTTGCAGTCTAAACAGTCGATGCATTAACAGACATAAAGAGAACTACAAATGTAATGTTTTTGTTATGAAAACTTAATGGGTAATAAAGGCTAACAGAAAACGTAAACGTAATGACAATGAAAACACGTTTGGAAAAGGATTTTTCAAAATACGTAACTTTAACTATCCGTACATTTCGCAATGTTAACGCGTATGGTGCAATATGGACAACTGTAACGATTCCATAACAGTGGTGCTCAACATTAACTGCATAAATTTTGACGAAAACAGAAATATTAATAAACACGCTGAACGAGATAACGAGAAAATGTAACCGTGAACGTATAACTATAAAATTTTTCGGTAACTGCTGATGATAACGAATAACTCGTATAAAATGTATAGTAAAAACTGTAAGCGTAACCCGTAAAACGTAAACGAATAATCGGTTATACAAGAAAGCAAATGAAAAAATGAAATTTTGAATTCGGTATCAATATGACGTTTGTTGGTTAAAATGACTGATGGAAAAGGAAAAAATTATTAAAAAATCAGATTAGTTTTTCTTCTTTTGAAATTTCGATTAGGAACGAATATGTTAACAGAGTGAAAAGCAACTAGTATAAATTGTTAACAGACACAATAACCAAAACTTAACAGTCGAAAAACATAACAATTCATATCGAACGGGATGCACTGGAAACAAAGAAGTCAAATTGAAATCAGCCAATTTTTTTTCAACAATTTCGTATACGTATCGATTGAAACTTAACGACGTAACATCAACGATAACAAATTATTAACAATTAACGGGGACGATTTAATAATCGAAACGAAATAACGAGGGCCGAATAAAAATCGAATTTAATATGAAAAATCAACAGTAAAATTTAGCACGGTTTCATTAAAGAGCTGAAAAAAGAAATTTTGTAAATATTACGCGTCGGATGAATAAGAAACGAAAATGTGATTAAGAATAAACTCAAAGAAATAATCGTATAATTCGAAGAGATGAAAATGATGGTTATGAAATTTAGGTAAAAATCATTACCATAATTTAAACACTTTCCACGCCTGATACTAACCTAAGCTTACTATCTTTATGTAACCTAGCTTCGTCTTTAGTGTAAATTTGAATTGAATCATGTTTAATTCCTAATTCTACCATCTATCTCAAAAGTAAAACCCTAATCTAATGACACCATCAACAAATATTGTTCAAATGGTATCGCTATGGGGAAGATAACGCGGATTGCTTCGAAAACAATTGATTCGAATGTTAATTGGAAAATTGAAACTACTAAAGAAAAAAAGATAGTTTAGTCGCGATGGGACTATGCCTACCTAAATTAAAAGCTAAGCTCAAGCACACACGAAACTTACGTAAAATGGTAAACACGAGCACGATGTATTAACCTATTCCACTTTATACTAACTTAAACACGAGCTTAAATCTAGACTAGTGAACTAAGTCTAACTTGATTAAAGAAGTAACTTAAGCTTGGCCATCTTTGAGTATCCATGCAAGCATGGAACAGATGGCAAGAGAATATTATTTTTCACCGGGGTACTCATCCACTTATTGTCACTGTATCAGCACGAATAGAAATTATCATTGATTAAAATTAAAGGGTTTTTTTTTTTTTTTTTTGAAAGAGAATTCTAATCAAGTCACGTATACTTTTTCGACTCATGATCCACGATGTCGTATCCTGTATGAAATTGAAATCCAAATGATCTACAAAGGATATTCTGTTTTGAGGAATCACGATCATCTTGTCGGCAGTTTCAAAATCTGGTCGAACTCACGCGTCATCAGCAGAACTTTGTAAGTTCGAAAGATTCACTGTTATGGATGTAAATGAGTTCTTTTTCTTCGTAACAAAAAAACCGCCAGGGTCTTTTTTTCTTGTGTTTCAACATAGAACTGAAATACAGTGCGAGTTATTGAATTTATGTTACTCCACGTTATATCTGTGTTTGAGATTACGAAGTGTGCATTTTTTTGCGCGGAATGATCATTCGAAAAGTATTCGTGACGTGTTTCAGGATCCTCGGTAGAATAACGAAAATAAAATGAGAAAGAACAGGCCATTTTACAAAGGTGCGAAAGGACAAAATAAATAAATAAAATATAAATAGTTAAAAAATAAAAACAACTGTAACGTGGGTCGGTGACTTTTTGAAGCGGATGTGTGTGGATCGTTCAAAAAGTTCGGCGAGCAAATGGCTTTCGAAAGAGGGTTGTTTCGCCGAACTATGCTATTGACGTTTTCATCTTTTGCAGATATATTTCTTTTTGTATTTTCTTTTTCTTTTTTTTGTGTATAGTCCTGCTATGTGATATATTTTTTTTTCGCAATGGACAACATGATTCCGTGAAACGATTCATACCGTTACGATTCTTTCGAAAGCCACGAGCACTGTAACAATTTTCTAAGTAACTACATAACAATGATTTCTGTTAAAATTCAGTGAGAAAATAAACAGTTAATTTTGTAACAACCGGAATACTGTTTGACGATGGCGGATCATTTTACGTCAATTTAATGAGCAGTAATTTTTTTTCCCCGATAGATGATTTCTCGTTAATTGACCCTGTCAATGTAACTCACGTAATTTTTCAATTTGTTTCCTTGATATTTTTCTTTTTTTTTAGATTTTCCTTACCTCGTATACTTGTTTTTGTATGAAAATTAAACGCGAAACATAAGAGAAAATGTAAATAAAAATGAAACCGATAAAAATTGGTAAAATCCCATGTAAAAACTGTCGAAGCAGTGCCATGCTGGATCAATCAATTGGAATTCGCGTTTGGTCTGTCAGTTTTAACAGAAAGGTTTTTCCTACCAGATAATATCCACTTTTTCTAGTCTACGTTCAAACTACTATTTCAGTATGAGAAAAAAAAGGCAGGCGGCTGCAAGCCCGACAGCCTTTTTCATGGGAAGAACTCAAAAACGAAATGAAATGAATGGTAAAGTAAAAAGTTGAAACGAACGAAACGTAAAAAAATGTACCAAAAAAAAAAAGTAAAGTAACTATAAAGATAAACTAACTAAAAACGAAATATTTAACCTAACTTAAAGTAACGTTAACTAGACAGCCGTATCGTTTTAAAGACAGTCTCAGTTCTCAATATCAAAGCAAGGGTCTAGATCGTGTCTCTGAAATAACACTGAAATGAAATTTTCAAAGAATTGAAATTTATTCGCTCGACAGAATTTATTGCAAAATACCTTTTGTGACTTTTCAGTGATTATAAAAATTTCTAACAGAACCCGGTATTTGAAATCTAGACCCAAGCGATGTCTAGGTACCCTGTTTTACGTGCCTGTAAAATTTGGCAAACCGACCAAATCGTTTGTGGCTGTTTTGTCGTTGGGCAATAGTTTGTGTTTATGTGATCGGCTGTGCGATTCATTAAATAGACAAATAAGCGTTATTAAAAAAATTAGAACAAAAGACATTACTTTTTGTTGTTGTTGCGGCCGCATCTAAATCCGACGACGTCGTTGTCCTCGATTACAGAAGGTCCCACGGTGAATATAAAGAATGCCCACGTGATCGGCTTCGATCGCTCTCGAAAGCCACTCGCCGGTTCCGATGATCGAATGTTTTATCCGATTTGTTGTAACATTCGCATTCGAACTGTATTTGGAGGTATCGTTGGCTTCGTTGTATCGTTGCTTCTTCCATTTGTCAGCCGGATTGACGTCATTCTGCTTCCTTGTATCTTTCTTATATTTATTTTGATTTTTCCTCGTATTTAATTTTCAGAAATGGTAACGGTCTCGACTCACCGTTTTCACACAGTTTTATTACTCTTTTGATTGTTCGCCGATAGAGGGATTTTGCTTGATTCTTTTTGTACTTTTCTTTTATTGCAAATTTTTTTTGCTTGGCTATTTTTTTTATTAGAGAGCGATTCGTTCGATGATTATGATTTGAGATCGTTCTTTTTTTTTCTTTCTTTGATGATTCTTTGTAAAGTATTAATTACTCTTCGTAGTAATGGCTGCTTCTGCTGCTCTTTTCTTTTAATGGGATCATTTTTTTGTTTGCCTGGCGACTGCGGTTCTGATTCTCACCCGTCCAATTTTGCGGGGAGGATTGTGGTTTCTTGAAATGCTACTGGTACTCGCTAAATCGCCGGAAGCCTAGCGATTGAAATTCTTTCAGGGTGAGAGGAGATTTTATTTTGAGCTAATAATTTTCTTCACAGTAATTCCTCGTGAATCCTGGGGGATGTTCTGAAGTGACAGGGTGAATTTTTGTGGTTTTATGTTGCATTCGGATGATTTCTTCAAGTCTCATACAAGTTTTGTATGTCAATTATTTAACTGTGGGGGTACGAGAGCTGCGGCAGCGCCACTCTTTTTTTTTTATTTAAATAAAAAATTTTTCGTTTTGATTTATCGTGATTTTTTTGGTGATTTTAGAGCAGGATTCTTCTTGTGTCTTTTTGATATTCCTGTCAGCTCTACGAGTCGACTGGTTGGTTGGTTTCGGAACGGTGGCAGCAAATTTTTGATGTCAGCACGATCTCGTAGAATATTTTGGAATATAGTTTTTTTATACTTGAAACTTGATTTGGACGTGAATTTGATACTGAAGTATGTCAAAGCTTAAAGATATTACTTTTCATGAATTTTCCCAAGTGGTGTCTCGTAACTCCTGCATTTTGTAAAATCAATAGATTATCCCATCTATGTTTTCAGTGGTATTCCAGTGACTTGTTAATAAAAACTCAATTTCCAATTATTCTGGATGCTCGCTGCTTTTCCTGTTCCCTTTTTTTTTCTTTTTCCACACTTTAAATTCAATTGTCCTGATTGCTTCTACCGGATCGTGAAATTTGGATTGAACTTGATTTACGAAATTACGATTCTTCGTTGCTTCTGATATTCCTTCTCCTGTCTGGAAACGTGGAGCTTTCAGTAGGAGCTGGAAGTTTTCCATTCTTTGTCTGTTCTTCAAAATGCGCGAGGGCTATTTTTGATTTCGAATATATTTTCAATGTATCAAGTCGTCTTAATGGAATACGTACAACAAGATGGTTTGACGAAACCAAATTTCTCTAACGATCATCGTGTCATACGTAAGAATACTGTGTGTTCATTGGAGACGGAAACATTTTAGTTTTGAAATGTAATTCAGTGAAATTCAATGTCAGCGAGAAAATTATTTCTGATTAATGTCTTCTTGTAATATTTTCAGATTCTCCAGATGAGATCATTTAGTTTTCTATATAAGAGTAGAGATGAATTTTATGTTTTTCCCATTGGTCGATGCCTTCTGTTGAGTTTTGGATTTTGACAATGACCCGAATGTGGAATATGATGTATATCTTTCGGACGATGACAAAAAACCAGTTGAGTCCTTGCCCGAGCTGACAAGAAATTGGCTGGCTGACCAATTTTTAGCACCAGATTTATGACGTCATTCGCCGTATTAACTTCGAAAGATGATTTGGTCTGACAGCATTTTGTTTTCATTAAAAAAAATATAAATTATTTAGAGGCATGATTTTGTTACTCGTTTGAGGAGCATCGGAATTCTTTAATCGAAGCGTCAGTCTTTTCTGTAAATAAAAATATGTATAATTTAATGTTGTCGCATTTTCCCGTGATATAGATTTTCATTGATTTTCTTGCTTTTACAGATGCATCTTCTTTTTGACTCGCTGATTGAACGAAATTAATAATTCTTGATGATCTCTGATTCTTTCATGTATATTTTTCAAACGAACGACTCTATGAATCTGATTTGTCCAATTGTACAAATCGATTTTTCAACTAATTCAGGCTTCGTGGCAGGATAATTAACATACTTTCAGTACTGAACAAGTTTCTGTTTTGCGATAGCCGCGAGGTGTCTCGCTGCACCTATTTTTATAAATCAACAAAAGTTCGTCTCCTATTTTTTAACACAGTAAAGTTAAATTGAAATCGGATGAATATTTTTTCAGTTTGCTCGTTTTCTTCTTTTTGTTTTGACGAATGCAACGGTATTTCCCATTATGGCCCCAGGAATGGTTTTTGCGTTTGTTTCGAATCGACATTCCTGCTGTATTCTGTGCAGTCTACCGGACTAGTTCCATCAGTTTGACGACGCACTTTATTTTGAATGAAAAATTTTCGACATAGAAAGATCACTCTTCGGAACGCACGTTTTATGCGGTACACTCAATCCACGATGAAATTCTGAAATAAACGACAATGCATCATTCAGCGAAGCATAGGGATACTTTTGTTAATTTTCCTTGTACTACACAGCCCACTGTAGCAATGATAAGACTGTATCAGGTTCGATGCATTATTCCTTTTGTCATTACTTTCGGAAGTAAACATGGGCACTGGTACTTTATAACCATTTAGCGTCAAATATTTCATTCCTCTTCTGTACCAACTTATCAGTGATGATTTATTGAAACGTCGTAAAAGAACGTATTATAACGTAAACTGCCATGTCGCTGATGATAAACCATGTAGAGAATGTCAAAGTAATTTTTCCATATATTTAGTCATTCCGCCATTCTTGTATTTGCAAAAATTATCCCCGTCTCAAATCGGCCAGATAATGCGAGAAACGTTTAGCATATCGTTTGGTATCCCCTGGAATTGCTTGACTTTTTTTCATTTTCAAAGACTCTCTTGATAGTTTCATTAGCGATAATAAACGACAATTGTAATCTTCCAGTATTGAACCTCTTTTCGCGAATGATCCCTCTCATTCATTGCCAATGTGTTGCGTGATGGGTTCTCTTCGCAGTCTCAATTCGTTTCCATACCAGAGGAATAGAATGCTTTTCGATGCCAATGGAGTACACTTTTCTCAAAGAAATTCCTTCGACGGTGTCGTTACCGCTCCGAGTATAGAATATTTGGGTTTCGTCTCGTTGCAGCCTGCTGCAGCCAATATGCATTTTTGTTCCCTTCTTTTTCTTCGTCGTAGTAAGTCCATTGTCTTACGGTCCTCTTAATATGAGCATCAAAGCGCATTTCGATCCATTGCGCTTTGGGGGTGTGGAAGGCGGGCATCCAATCGCCAAAATCTGAAAGATGGTGTGAGTGTTAGCTACGAAGCGCTATGGTGGTAAAACTAAGTGAAATCGTGCATTGGATATGAAGAAGTGGGAGGAATATAAAGACGTGTACTATTGTGCCGTACTGTATAACGAGGTCTTTCTTTCGTTGCTTAAATTACGTGTGGAATAAGTGGAACACAGGGAGTTTCAAATACAACGGACGAGGAGTATTTAATGCCGGTGAGAATACAAGGTTTGACGATTTCGTATGAAGGACTCTTGGGGGGTTGCCAAACGGGTCTCTCCTTTGTTGTTCTTCAAATTCTACTGGACTCGAATAGGTACTGCTTGGGTTTCTATTATAGCTATTATTGTCGCCCTCGAGTCAGCTTGCTTGTCACGTGATTTTATACTTCCGCTTCTTAATCAATGAGGTTTCTTCGTACGCTCAGGTATTAGTCAGAACACAAGGCTTATTGCGTGGTGCAGTTTGTTTTGGAGCTTTGCTGTACTTCCTGCACTGTATTTACGTCTAGTTTCTGTTTGTTTGCCAATTCTCCTCCGTTTTTACTGGTATTTTTTTTTTTTTTTCTTCATAACAAGGTAATCTTTGAGATTCTTGGAATGTCTTGGACATTATTTTATTCTTTTTTTCTACTATGTACAGTTGTTAGTACGTACACACTATGATGCTTTGTTATTCGTGCTGGTCGGTATGGAGAGCATCATTTTATCATGCAGTCGCAATTCTGGTCTAGTGCACTGATTTACAATCTGTTCTAAATGCAATGGCTAGAGTTGAAGAAACACATACAGAGTGCAATTATACTGGATGCTATACAATTTGTGGCGTGTCAAGAGAAACGCTATTAAAATTTGACTTTTTGGAAAAAACAAGATTTTCACACAATTTTGAAATGCGTGCATGCCGATTTTTCACGGATACCGAAATGGTTCTTGGTCGATCGTACAGGGCGGTCCTTTTTGCCTGGTGAGGGCTCACAGGTAAAAGATTCCTGGATAAGGTTGTCTGGTGTTTCGAAAATTCACTGTAACCGTGTTCTACGTTGGGCCTTTCGCAAATGGAATTTTCTTGCGCAAAAACTGCTCTGAAATTTATGACCAGGGTGGTAGGTGCATGACGACGATTAGACTCTTGCCGCTTTCCAAAAAGATTTTTCAAATTGTGGTTCCTCAAGAGAGAAATTAATCAGACATTTTTTGTCTTTAATTTCCTACTTTTTTTGTATAACGATCCAATTGCGCAATGGAAGATTTAAATCCAGTGGAAGTGAATGTGAGATGACAGTTTTGACATATATACATATATCATCTTTCAATTCCGAATATTCATGTGCTGATTTCAAGATAGCTTTTCAAATAGATTTTCATCTTGTTGCATAACGGAATGAGACTAGGTCGATTCGCTTTGTGTCAGTGAGGGGTGCATATATTGGCTACCCTAAAGTTTATAGAAATAAATGGAGAGGATTGGTCAGTTACTTCCGGTATTAATGCAGTCGACAGGAAATGGCACTTGTTACATAATTACATTGAGTGATTATCAGCCGGATGTGATGGAGTGAAGTTTCATAATAATTGCCAAACTTCTCGAACTATCCTGATTTCGTCGTCTTCAATTTCATTAATTATCGGCAACCGGAAGTTCTTGGAATTACACTGTCTTTCTAAATTCAACTTTTTCTTCGTAAAAAAAAATTTCCTCCTGGACGTGTAACACGATTTGTAAAAGAATTATTATTTTTTCATTAAGCTCGAGAGGTCACTTTTATTTGTATATGAAAATTGTGCATTTTATCTCTGACTGTTATTACTGAAAAATTCGAGAATTCACGATGGTATTTGAATGTGAGTTTGGATTTGTTTGGTGTAATCGGATTAACTGGGGAGGGCTGGCCCATTTCCGGCAAAACGACCGCCTGCGTTAAAGTTCATATCGGATGCAATTTGTTGATACGTGCTCGATATTACGGAAACAATATACGAAAATAAACATCAAGAGAGTTTTGGATACTGTAGAAATTAAAAATTTTTAATGCTATACATTCGATTTTCCAAAATATCAAGGATGCTGTACGATGGCAGGCATATCTTTTTACATACAAATTTTTGTTTCATTTACAACGTGCTACGTAATCCATTTCATATGAATTATTCAGGCATAACTATGTGTCATGTTACGTGTAGAATTTTTTAAATTCAGATTGTCGATGAATTAATAAATATATTATTTGATTGAACTTAGTCACTTTGTACAGTAAGTATGATATTTTAGAAAAATTTTAAATGCCGTGATCAATTTGTAGTTTTCAAAGGCTTATTTAATATTACACTACTACAAATTTTCGTTTTAACGAAATTGTCATTTTATCAGGATCTGTTGCAACAAATTCTCGGTATTATATTTTGAAAAATACAATTATGTCTTTGGCAATAATAGTACGGTAGGTATACTAGGAAATAATTACATTTTTATCTATGCTACGTCTATTACATTTAACGTCTATAACTTTAAGTCATATACGGATAATCAAATATAAGCTATAAAGTATTCTAGGAATGCTTTTTTTTTTCTACGAACAAAATTCGAATATACTGATTTTTAAAAACAGCTAAGCTAATTTTTATATACAATTTTGATCAGATCTTAGTGCCTGGATAGAGTAGGGTCTAGTGATGTCTGTTACGAAAATGATAATTTTGCATACGATCCTTCCTTTCGCTGGTAAAGGAGCATACGGTATTCTACCCCGTGAGAATTTCGTTAGTTCCAATTTCGAAATTTCGTAAAAGTCCAGAACACAGTACACGTTATATTTGGTATTCGATTGAGTATTCCAGGTAATAATATTTTTGAATTCAACGACTCGTAAAATTTTTCCCTTACAATAGGTAGATTCTTGTGTCAATATGAATACGAAATTTTTGTCAAGGATCTAATCAAATGATCCTGTCGCACGATTTCAGAACACTGCGAATCATCATCACGGGGTTTCGCAACGGGAATCCGTGACGCGTTAAAAAATGGTCGAAAAAAATTAATTCAATAAAAATTATCAATACCCTTTCGAAACAGCCGTAGTATCGGTAAGCGAGCTACGAATTTACGATTATCCGTATTCGAGCGAAATAGACCCTGTGGGAGCCCGTTAACACTAAATACGGGACAAAATACCGTAGCGTGACCCCATATCGAAGAAGAAACTGACGTTTCATAGAAATTTCGAATATTCTATCGAAGCACCAAAATCGTAATTTTGAAAATGATAAAATAAAAACGAATAAAAAAACCGAACAGATATAAACAAGCCAAAACTAAACTCACCACCATCGCGGAGACCGTCCGTCTCGTTTTGGATCTGCGACAGAAAAGTTGAAGCACTTCTGGTTAGTTCACTGACAGAATATAAACTTCTTCTGGATTTGGAGCTGAACACTCAAAGCCCCATTCCTGACCGGACCAGCCGGCAGTAGGAGCTCCGGTGTTCACTCCACTGCTGATGACGGAGTTCTGTGTCGAGATTGGGGTAGCCGGGTCCTTATATACCTAACAGGCCCTACTCCAGGGGCCCTTTGACTTAGGGGAGGCCCTGGGAAAATATCTCATACAATGGCCACCTTTGCCCAATTCAAAAGACGCAACCGAGAGGGTCCGACAAGATATCCATGATTGGCCCCTTACCTGTTCTTCTTGCAGTTCCTATTTTTCGTTCCTCTCTTACTTTCTTCTCTCTTCCACCAAATCCCTCTCTTTCCTTAATACTTGCGCAATAAAGCACAAGACCACGTTCGTGCTTCTTGCCAAGGGGAACACACATATTGGGGTAGCTTGTACCATCCCTTGGGAACCATCTCCAGGTGTCATTTCCAGGCCGTTTCTTACTAACAAATATATAACCAACACGTGAGATTCTATATTTCCACCTATATTTCTATATTTCATGGCCGACACTTTGAATATCTGATACAATGTAAATTTATTTTACTAGCCCATTTGAACCTAAATGACATTGATAGTAGCTTCCTGAAATCGCCTCAGTACTGGTTATCTCATAGCGACAAAAAAATACAGCATCCATTTTAGAAAGTGCAAATGACCTTGAGAACTCCTTTACGCCCCGACCTCGCAAAAAATAATATTATGTCCGCCTCTATACCGTACAAGTTTTGCATGAAACATTTCTTGAAATTTCTATACAAATAACAGAAATATTCCAGCTGGACAAAGTTATTGGTCCACCCTGTATATGTGGCTGTCTAGATATATGCTTATATTAATATGACGCAGTTAGATTCGCACGACGCAAAAGACGTCCGGTTTGATATTTTTTTTCTTTTACAGAAGGAACATTCGCAACGCTCCCCTTTAGTGGCCAGATCCAGTTACACGAGATTGCGCAACCGTTAGCTATTTCTCATGAAACGTTTTCTCCTACCCAAACTCCTCCTGGGCCCTCGCGGTATCTTTGAACAAGCATCATGGACCCTAAAGGATCGTGCGCGTGTATGACCCAAACCATCGTGCTACTGAAATCTGCATCGAAAGAGGTTCAACTGGATTCCAGTGTGAATCTTTCACACGAGGCTTCATCTTGTGGGGCAAGGATTTTCAATATATAAAGAATAAACGAGGCAACCTGCTATTATTTTAAATTACGCCAAAATACGTTCCATTATTGAATTATTCTGCTATTTGCGTTTATTAAAACTACAGGGGTTGTTATGATTATTCCAGAAACGTGTTTCAACGCTGTCAAAAGAGCTTTCGAAAAATTTCCATCATCCTCTGTTGGCACGTAGGAAGTAACTATTTTGAAAAAAAAAAGAAGTAGAAGAGTTGGGGAGCCAGTTTTGTATCCGGGATCCTTCGAAAAACCGTTAAGATGAGACGTTATTCATCATCGGGCCCAAAAGGTCCGTAACCCCAGGCTGCAGGATCCTGATCCTGAATCGCGTGACCGAGCCTGGCTGAAATATCTGGCCCACTTCCAGCACTTGGGATCCTTGGCTTTCACGGCTCTGGCCGTTACGTATTGTGCGGTTGTCCTGCTGTTGAAACTTCTGGAAGAGGATCTGTGAGTTGGACCGGAACTAAATGGAATTTCTTTCGCGTAAAATAATATATGGGGTGGATCAAGATGCGGATTTCTTCAGATCTGTACCTTTTAAATTATTTGGAACAGCAAATGACTGCAATCCCTGGACCTAAAGATTTACTTTAATGGGCTTCCACTTTTGGGACGGAATCATCGAGGCAAACTGGTTGGCAATAAACAAGGTAAATTGCTTAGCAGTGGGCGTCCACTCCGAGCAGGCTCTTAACATTTGAAAAATCCAAGGCACAAATACCAAACTAAATGTTTTACGAGGGACTGATGCTATTAACGAGGATAAATGATAATGATTTCGCCCTCCCCGGGTAGCCGCATTAGAATTATCGATGAGCGGTAAAATACATTCGGAAATTGTTTTTTATATTTATAAAAAAATTCATACGTGAAAACAATAACTTTTACCATGAAACAGCAAAACATTGAATATCCAACTTATTTCATGTTATAAATATCATGTTATAAACATTCTAATTACATAATCTCTAACTTTCATTCGAATCGCATTAAGTAAGGTTGTAATTCCGAATTCTTAAAACTTCTACCTTGTATTCTTATTGCTTGAAGATCTCTTGTTTATTGATTAATTGATTGTACGTGTCGTCACAGGGATAACTATGTACAGAGTAAATATTCAAACTTACTTTCGGGAGAGACACTTACGTTTTATGTTTCCCTTCGGAGACACTTGGAAGTAACGAGCTTGGAAGGTTCCGGTCTGTGTACGTGCGTTACGGAACCAGTTGACTAGTGTCTAGTCCACGTCATATAACACGTGAGAGGATCTGCTCAACAAACTGGTATAACGGACGAAAATTGCATATGGAAATGTCTATAGAAAAATTTTTTTACTGCTACAGCCATAGTTCTTACAGCTGGTAGAGATGGTATTAGCATCTGAACGAAGAATGTCTAAGGCCCATAGGTAGGTATAACAGGCACCTACCAAACGTTAGAAAGATTTGTAGTTTGAGTGGTGACAAAAAATGGGAAAAGATGCCGTAAACGTGTAGCATAACTCGAACCAAGGGTTCTTCAGGGACCATTTTGGTTCTTATCTGTCAAAGACTGAAACCGTCTGTTAGGGTTTCCAAGACCATAAATTTAACATTGAGAAAGTAGAACCTCTCATAGCCCTATTGTTTCTCTGCTTTGGAGTTCTGGAAAGTAGTTAAATCCTTGTAAGTTCTATGATCAAGATTTTTTGGAAAAAGGCATTTTTCATCTTTTCAGATATTTTCAACACCATGTGGTAATACATTACATGCTGCGGAGCTCTCTGTAGTCGATGATGGCGTCACGTGGCGCTTTAATGAGAATTGATTTTTCAATAAAAACGAAATTGGCATGAATCACTTGAGGAGAGAGTGATTAGACAAATTCTAGTCTACGTGCGCGGCGTACGATGCGGGTAGCCATTAAGTCTCTTCTCCATTGGGGGAGATAATTGGGTAATGACTTTTACCGTAGCTGTGTTTTAATACCCTCCCCGTTATCTCAATCTGCTGGCTAGGTATGCATATCGCCTTTAGTTAAATACATACAAACTTTTTTGTATTTCGTTTAAAAACTTTACAGCGGTGAATTTATTTTTCAATTTTCCCAAATACTTCCACCATGTCATCCATACGTGTACAAAGGTCCCATACTATGTTGGGGTACCTCTATATTTACGCAATGGCTTGTATATCCGAAGGGTGACTATTGAGCCAGGGGTGAGAACAGTGTGTAGGAATTTTTGCATCCCTAATTCCCACGCAATGAATAGAAGCGTTTGATCCTACCTGCGTAGGCGTGTCGGTTCTCCTAGGAAGTCTGCTGTGTGTGTACATAGAACTAGGCTTGTATTACTTAGCCATTTTTATTCTACGTGTCTTTGCATATTGCCCAATGAAAAAAGGGTCAGCCATACTTCGGTGCCCTTCATCTGGATCAATGTGTAATTGGACTTACATTAGCTCATTCATACTGGACCGAATCGAATAATGCTTATTTCACGATTCGTTGCTTTAGAATTCAATGGCATTTCCTCACGCGCTATTATTACGCGTATAGGCATAGTACAGCGATAACGTATAAATGAAAATTACAGGAAACGTGATAACGTATAATCGTAAGAGTTCGTAAAATTTAGTACCGTAAGAAATAAAGTAAATGGCAGCACCGCCCGTAATCGAATAACGAATATTTCTCTGAAGTATCGAGTAAAAGGGACATATCAGTAACGAAGGGTCAGACCTATTTCTGAAGTCGCCCAGCCTTGGAGAGAAGGGAGAAAGAAAAGGAAAAAAGTACACGCGGTAATTCGAATCGTGAGAAGAAAACCAAAAGGCCTGCAGAAGGTCAACTAGCTTCCAGCCGAAGCTCTTCTAGTATTGTATCTATCCTTTACTTAGCATAGGGCGAAGTCATGACTGCCCTGCCGGTTGGTACATTGGGCCCTCTTTAGCCCAGGTCCTTACCCTTGATCCGACCCTACGGCGCACCCTTGGATACCCTTATCCAGGCTACACGTTCTCTTACGTAGGCCTTGCGTAGATTTCCGTACACGCATCTGCCTACGTTCTCACGGTTTAGCACCCGGCTTCACTAGGTTGGGATTCGTACCTATGTTCACTACGTGTATCTTCCTACAGGCGAGTTCTGTATTTCTTTATATATTACTTTCCAAATCTTTAATTCAATTTATGGAGCTTGAAAAATAAAGAATTAAACGTCTTTAGCATGTCCGGTGACTATTACTGCATGTGCTACCAAATGTGTGATGCAACGTAGGATACGTAACCTTAAGGCTATACAGATGTATAACCGACCCTTTGCACATTGAATATATACAGAAAATTGGCTTTGTGTGTTATTTGAAAGATTTTCGTGTGCGTATGCATATGAGCATGGAAGGGCCCGATGTTTTTCAGCCCTCCCTACGTTTCTATTTTTATGTATTTCAGTACGAAGTTCCAAGGTTCCCAACTTGGTTTAATAATTTTGAAGTGATTTTTTCAATTATTTTTTATGAATGTTTCGTTTTCAAGTTCTACGCATCATGAAGTAAATTTCTAAGAATTTTCGAACTTCTGAGATAATATATAATTGGATGAAAATTAATCGCGAAATACTTTTGTATCATCGTAAAAAATTTTGAAGAATTTTTCGAAATGCTTCCATTAGATAAAGAACCCCTACGCAAGATACGTTACGCTATACACAATTTATATGCTACACTATACTTTATGTCCGGTTCAATTTGAAACCTTTTTTGTATCATGTCGACACAATGAGCGCCACTGAGACCATAGGAAATGAGTGTCCTGTGGAACAAGTGCATCAACCCTCTTCACCCTCGGTGCTCCACCCTAACACACCATAACAATTCCCCATCAGCAGGTACCTGCCACTCCTCCCATAAACGGCCAGGGAATTCGGCGTAGCGCAAGAGCAGTGAAGGTAGGTTATATAGTACCCCCTAACCGCCACGCAACCCGAAATCTTACAGCGTCGTCCGTTGGGAAGACCGTTTTTTTTCCATCCCATGAATTTCGGTATTTTACTATGAATTCCCAAAAATACCCAACAGTTACTCGAAGAAGGTAATAATTACTTCCTTGGGAATTGCACGGAGTTTGGAAAAAAAAATTGGATACAATTATTAACTGTATAATTATAGATAATATATTTTTTTTCAACAGTTTCTCTTATATGTATTTATTGGTTATGAATGGATCGTAAATGAAATTATGTCAAAGTTAGGAACGAAAACCAATCTCCATAAATCTGATGACGCCATGGATCTGAAAACGTCTAGAGATATCTATTAATGTTTCACGAAGAAATTCGAGTGTTCGTTCTCACGATCAGAAGGGGGTTAGTTAATCTCGGCCAGACGCCAAGTGAGCGCGTTGCCCTAAAGATTGCCCACATTTCCTCCCTTTGAAAATGCTGACTGACTTCACACTGGTGCCCACCCTCCGCTGTGTCCCACGTGGTCGAACGCTCCTAGCAGCATTGCAGTGCATCGCATTCTACCACCCCATATCGCACCACTCACTATCGACATTTCACTTTACACCACACCCACTGGGATTCTTTATTTTTTTCTTTTTCTCCCCTTTTGGGGTGCAGCACTGGTACACGTGTGCACCAACTTTCGGACAAAGAATGACTTCTAGAATTATTCGTCCGAGTATAGAACGTGAAGCAAACCCCAGTAAAAAACATGTTGACTGTCGTAAAAATTTAGGGTAGTTTTTAATTAAAAAATTGTCCTCTTCAAAAATTTCAAATTATTTCCAAGGGCCAGATTATATTTTTAGAACTGTAAATTGTCTGACTAGTCATTCAAACGTGGCGGCAATTTTGTTTTACATTTTCGTACGCGTCTCAACGGTGGATCAGTAAGGCAAAAAGAAAGCCTCGTTTCTAATACCCGCAGGCGGTAACCTGCTGATCGAGGAAATTATACGGACTGGTGATTTATTTTAATGAACGTTTGGTACGACCTGGGCAGTTTATCGTTCCCTATTGCTAAGTACATAGGGATACGATTTCAAACGTAACTTTGTCATTAGACGTGTTCGGATGAGCTACGTAACTTGTCAAATTTGCATTCGATTATTGGGATAATACGTAATTGAAAATACTGAAATCCCACTACTTGAGTCATCTGTACCAAAGTATCGAGCTCAATGTAATTAAGGAGTAATGAGTGCATGTTGTAATTTCTTCCTTAAGTAAATCTATATGTAGAATGATATATAGCTATACACAATACACGCTGGTACAGAAGTCAAAGTATGGTGTCAAATTGTTGACACTTTATATTGTTACTTTTTGGTATTACTAAATTAAAAAAAATTTTGATAACAATAGCCATTGAAATATTTTCATAATAATTATATAATATTTTCTTACTGAGATATCTCAGCCCATATATGAAATTTTTCGTAGAGAAAGGTTTTCCCTGTTTAATGAAAAGCAAAGGAAATTCTAAAGAGAGAGATGCGGGTGGGGTGAACGTAAAAGGGTTCGATTATACACAGCTCATCCCTCGATATTCTTAATCAGAGTTAATGGATGGTTTACGGTAAAATGTGGGTACCATGGGGGTGGCTCTTGGGGAGTTCCGCGATAGGGGCATGGGAAATATGCGGAAGTTCACATTTACCATATACATATATGACTCTTGGTCACGTTGCATGGAAGCATATGTTTTCTATGGGGGTGCATTATATCTTTTTTTTTTTAAAGATTGCTGGTCACGTGTCGAATCGCAACGAAAGCAACGTCAAAGCGTTGATTTTCAGTCATGTGCGGGTACACGCGTCGGTGAGAAATCAATAACTGAAATAGGAACATTCAAAAGCTATCCATAAATTCCTTCTCCGATATTCAGTTCATTTTATAGCACTTCGTCGAAACTGTTTTTACGCGCGATATAAAGTAGCTCATATTCGTTATATAAATTCATATAGCATATTCGTAATCCGTATATGAGTATAAAAACAAAAAATATTTTTTACAGCTTTACGGCTTACCATATTTTCTAAATATTATCTCCCGTTCGTATTTCTTTTTCTCGTATAAATACGTCCTGTGAAAATAATAATGAAACGTGAAAACAATCTAGTATGCTAAGTACCTAGCATATTAATTATCCCTATATAAAGTCGCTCAACCGATTTCAGTGCAGGTTCCGTCGCATGGGAATCCAAGGGCGGTGGGTAGAAATATAGAAAACAACCGGATATCAGCACACGGGTCGCTGAATAATTCTACAAATCAGGCCACGTCCGTCGCATTTGCATAGCGACGTTTGTATAATTTTCGTAATCGTCACACGTTCAGAATTCACGGTCAATCACGCATCGAAACCGGAAGTACACAAACGGAAGGGGATGAAAAAAATTCATTGTCGGAACCCCCGGATCCGCGTGATAAACGCTTGTTACGCTTCGTAACACACATACAGATATATATACATATATATAGATACACATTATTCACGTTAAATTGGCATCCTACCTGCCACTACAAAATATTTCTCAACATAAAGCTACATCCACAACAGTCTAATTAGTCGTTAGTTCTTGACCGATCTCTTGTACTTATGATTAGTAAAATTCAAGTAGAAACTTACACCTACGTGTTTTTCGTAAGACAGTAGAGACACGCAGTGTGGATGCAGCCTAATATAATTTGCTTTACTCACACATATGGTTTCTTGGTCATCGACCGAGCTGCAAAAGTATTTCATCGCATCCGACCCTATTAAAACGAACGGACTGTGTTAGAGAGTGCAGAATGCATTAGAAGAGAAATGCACTATAGAAATCCGCATTATCCGCTTACGTCTTTCCGAACATCCTCTATTATTTCGTGAACTAAAGTCGTTCAGCTGCGGATAAACTGAAATTCTATTCGGCGGAGACTGCTTAATCGTCAATACGCATCGTTGATTCCAGCGACTCCTTTTGGCCACGCTCAATCTCACCGGAACACACGATTGCTGGAGTTTACTTAAAGCACAGAATCGAGTCGAGTCGAAGCGCAGTTCAGTTCCTTTTGTTTCTTCGTTCTCTCCGCAGAATCCGAACTTCTTTGCAAAACTGATATATTCTCGCCACGTTGATCGTAAACTTTTTCGTTATCGTATCGACTGGTAATATACACAATTTTATTCAGTATATAATATTTCCCGGTCACAATGCAAAATTAATTTCTGCTACATTCACGTCACTCACGATTCGCCGTTGGTCAATAACGCACGATTGTGATGAGTCCAGTTGTCCGTAACAAGAAACGTAGAATGTTAATGATTGCGTTGGTGAAAGCTTTTGATTAATTCAACGACAATAATGTTATACTAAAATCAATGAAATATATGGGATTTTATAAGTTGATTAATGATATCCGGTGACTGTTGTTTTACCAAGTAACATCGAATGCTACTTCGTTTTCGTATGCTATGCACTTTATGAATTTTACAAACTAGAAGTTGATTCAGGGGAATTCTCATCGACAAACAGGAAGAGGATTAAGGTTGACTGTGTAAAATTTATCGAATTTTTAAACTACGACTCAAGTATTGAAAAAGGTATTTGGTGTACGTAATTTTTTAAATTTTTAAATGAAATAACTGGAAAATTTTTGCCATAACGGAAGAGATCGTTGAGCTGTTATATTGATTCGAGGGAAATATTTTATCAGTCGTTAACAGTGATGTCTGGCCAACGCAACGTAATATTATCACCCGTTGATGGCGATACGTTCAATTAACGATAAAGGCGAGAAATAGCATCGTGGTTATGCATTTATTAATCTATCGAATCGCGCGCAACCGTTTGTCCGATGTTTCGAAATCAGCGAGCTGTGAAAATGTTCATGGAAATTGGCGCAATGGCGCACGTTAACGCCTTTACAGAAAATCCGTGAAAGTATAAACAAACGGTACAGCTTTCGGGTAATTAACCAATGCCGTATTGGCATAAATCTACAGGGACGTGGACAATGATAACATTATTGCGTAATTTTATGCAATTGCAACGCCGAACGTGAGCAATTAGTTAGGAAGGCTTTTGGGATTTTGTTCGATAAATCGGCATTGTATCACTGCATATCGCGGTGGTACCAACCCTGTGGAAATATTCGACGTATACGTTGCTTGCTTCGCAATACGTTTATTTTCAAAGTCGAATGTGGCTGAATAAAAATTTTACGGATTCTCGTTAATTATACGAGCACACCAGTGGGATTCCCTAATGTATAATATAATTCAAACTGTGTTAGGGCAAATTTATTCAACAGACGATTTCCAACTAATCCCAAAATCTAAGTGAGAAACTAATTCTGTTACTCTTAGTGACTTCAGTCCTTTGCGACACTCTGTTTCAATAGAATTCACGGGCATGACTCTAATTTCTTTGAAATCGTGAGAGACCTTACTAATAATAGTTTACTACGGTAGGATTCTGCGAATGAACCAGATGGATTTAGACATTTCTCGTCTAATAACACACTCAAGGTCACGAACTTCAAACACCTAATATAAGTGCAATTATACGAGGGGACAGACAGGGGGATAATCATTCCGGATGTCTTAGCGTTCTGTCATGTGAAACAGCAGAGGATCCCAATTACAGGGTTGAAGTGGATTACGAAATCAGAGAGGATTAGGGTCTATCTTGCGTACTAGATTGACAATGTTGGTAGGCTGTAATTCATTGAGCAATTTCGAGAACGTAACGTCGATGGTTGATTAAGGCCATTGACTGATCGAAATTGATGACGCAACGAGCTGATAAAAATCAGGTGACTTTGCGAGCTTGGGAAAAGAAGCACTTCGCTCAAAGGAAATAGGGAATAACGTGATAAAGAGTAAAAGTCGTTTGAGGTTTTGCGATAGCGATTAATGAGCTCGTAATTTCCTTTGTTCGCGACTTTCAAGTTGGTCGCGTGGGCATCAAAGCTGAAGGACGCCGACGCTGGGTTACCGTCCATCAGGAAATTCTATCAAGTATTTTTCAAGCTTCCTATAGCCGGTGAGGATTATAGGAGGGTTGCTCCGCGATGCAGTTCCAAAAGAAAAAGAAAACAAATTTTCATTACTAAGATTTTCTTTTGATTTTATGAGAATCGATTTCTTATACAGGCGAGAGGAACGTTTATGTCGTGCTAACCGACTACGGGCCCTCCGATATCGTCACGTTGAAATCCGACGATGGATTTTTGAATCAGCGCTTTCAAATCCGGATAAAAATCTACCATCATCATACTGTTATGCAAGTAACGCAATCGTACGGAAGGGCTTCTGCTCTATTTCAGGTGAGTTTTCAATTACTTTAAAATATCGATTTGAAGAAATTGCTCTGGGTACTTCGACTTTGACAGTACATAAGAAAGATCCTAGATCAGGACTAAAGTCATGCTCAAGCGCTTTTAGTACCCTAAGATTTTTTTTAATCTTCAGGCTCGCATCTTTTTATAGAAAATATATATATATGTGCGTGTACGTATGTAACCTGGCTTTTATTTAAACCATTCTCTGTAGACCCTTTGCACGTTTATCCTTCACCGTTTCGAGACTGAATGGCAGAGCTATTATTATTATCCGCACGTGCCCCCCCCCCCTCCTCTGGACCACAAAAGATTCTGCCCCATGGAAAATCTTTCTTGCGTAGTTGTCAGCTAAGACCCTACCCAGAAGGAATACCCATCTGTAGGGTTTCTGGCGGGAAATCGCACTAGGCGTCACCTACACTCTCTACCAGTTTCTGATGATTTTTCAAATTTATATATCTTTCTGATTATACCAATGCCAATTGGAAACTGTGGTCTATCATCTTTATACAGTTTGTACATTTTCATATCGTTTTTATTTCTGGCCTTCTTCATACTTCAATCCTCTCGCTTATATAACCATTGTACTTTCCCTGACTGCATAAAGATCTTCGGTGTCGGCCGAATTGAATGCAGGCATTTATAGGGGCAGCTGTCCATGTGATAACTGTAGCTGAAAGAATCTATTGTATCTACTTTGCACGTGGTACCGTTTGCGCGGGAACTTTCTCAAAATCTGGAAAAGTGTAAGTTCTGTAACCACGTGACATCCAAGGGTTTAATTCAATTGGGAGTAAAATTATTAAAAATTAGAATGGAATTTACCCAGTGAACTTATCCAAAATAAGTTTTATAAATTTCTTGATAACGTTATTACTTGTGCGATTTGGTTGTTTTTTCTCTTTTGTCATTTGAAACTTTTAGATGTAGAGTGAAGAACGTTCGTCGCGTGGCTGAAACGTGTTTTGGTTTTCCTTAGACTTCATCCTTGCCATTGTTTATATGATTTCCTACGTGAACCATTAATTATACGAGATCTTGATAAATGAAGTTTGTCCTCTGCAGTCTGCCTTTGTTTCCTCTTATTTGAATGTACCATTGTGTTCCAGTACAGCGTGGGTATGGTTCTTAGGCACGCTACGAAAATTCATCTGCAACGTGCCGCGACAATCATCGAAAAGAGGTACAAGATCCTGGAACATGGAAAGGAATTTTTAAGTTTGACTTGAAGGTTGTGTTTGACGATACTATCTGTACAAATAAATAAATCTATGTATTTGATGTATTTGATTCATATACGCAATAATGAACTGTCTTCACTACTATGAAGTTGCCACTTGATATGTATGGACAGTCCGAATTAGTTTTTCATTTTTTTTTAGTTATTCCTGAATATTTCTTACCGGTCGTTGTGCTTCTAAATTCTTGTTATTATGGAAATTATATATTTCATTTATCTGGCTGTATTTTATATAGCAGCGAACGCGTCGTTCTTCCTTTTTATACGTCTTCCGTTAGCTTTGAAATTAGCGACTATCGAAAATTGATCACTCGAATCGTCTGAAGAATATTCTCATGAAATCGTCAATATGGGCCAAGGTACTTAGCTTTTCATTTAAATGTTTGATAATATCTTTATGTATGTTGGAATAAATCAGAAATAAATAATAACCTTTATTACAGGCGAAGATTCACTGCCAACGATAATGCCTTAGTATAATTAGAGCTTTGTCCAAAGTAAACCTCTGTGAATGAAGTATCTTTAAAAATTGTGCTACGCAAGTAACAGTAAAACTCTTGTTGTCTTTAATTAAAATCTAATCAAGAACTGATTTTTTTTGGAGGTTAATCGTTAGGGTGCATCAAACGTATTGTTTATATTTTATACGGTCCTGTGAGTGTAGTAGTTTTCTTTCTTACCGACTCCTGGCACGAATTCTCAAGCAAGTTACAGACTTTTCCCACAGGGCGGCAGCACCAACGCGTTCTTCATCGAGATTTACTTCTAGATTTCATTATGTTCTTCCGTGAGTTTCGTGTTAATAAATTAGATAAACGTGCCTGCGCTAATGAAAGAGAATTGCATTGTGTCGCGAGTGTAGACAACACGATTGAACAAAGATATAACTTTTAGATACTTCTGAGATCAGTAAAACTGTTTGTTGTGCCATCGAAATACATTGTACTTCTCATCCAATTGAAATGGATTCAATCGCAACTCGAACGGCACAGCATTACTAAACACAGTCCATTACGCCGGACGGGGGTAAGTAAACTTGATAAAATATTCATGAAAATTGGCAATGAAAAGCAAATGATGATCGATATCTGCAAGCATTAAGATCTACGTTAATCCTAATTGCAATTCAGATCTACGCTATTCCTAATTATATCTACATGTGGTTTACATCAAGGCAAAACCTGCAGAGTAGAGCATGGTGGCTTGTCTGCTGCTGGTGGCGTTGATTGATACCACCAGCACCACTAATGCAAAATACCGTCCAATTACTTGTCAGTTACGAGTATTATATCCCTATTCTATTCGCAAGATAAAAGAAACAAAAAAATTCTATTAAAACATATCCTAGCACTTAGCCAATTTTTCATCAGATTGACATTGTACACAATTTAAAAAAGAGAACAATATACGTACATGAGATACTTGAAAAATATAGAATTGCAGCAAACTTATATACTATATGCGTAGCTGTAGGTATATCTATATTATCATAGCATACAGTATACATATTATATAATATTTCATATAATATAGATAATAGACACTTTCAAAAGTATCCAAGCAGTAACTATCCAATCCAATCTATCTATCAGGGAACTAAGTATTAATCACTCAAACAACCAATACCATTTTCATTAATTTCTCCTATGAATGACAACCCATAACCTAAGTTTACGAATGAAAGCGGCTGACCACCTTGTCCAACTTGGATTATTTACGGGTGTAGTTCTGGAAAACGTAAAGGAGTTTCTTGCCAAAGCAGGAACGGGGATCTTCCGCTGGATTAAATCCTGGAACATGGTATCGCTTACCCAGGAAGTCGTAGACAGGGAACGCACGGTTAGTAAGTAGGCAGGTACTCGCTTCTGACGTTAATACGGAAAGTCCTTAAGCTGCAACTGTGGAAACTTTACGGACCGTGGCAATGACAGACACAATTCTTGAGAAGCCATGTTCAGGATTTCAAGAAGTGGATGCACAGGACAAATGATACAAATAGTGTTCCCTGAGTATATCTATACGAAGAGATTGCGTAAGAGCTAAATGAAAAACGTAAAAAATGAATCGAGATTAAATATTAAGAACTTTTGCAATTTTCAGAGTTAACTGACACGCTGGAAAATCGAGCATTAACAGAAACTAGGTGCAAGGTACGAAACTTAAAATTATGATGCATTCGATACTCGAAATTGACGTCAGTTTCGTTTTAACTTTAAAACTTGTCTGCTCCTCATCCAACTTACATAATTACTGGAAACTCAAGAAGTTACATCGATTAATAATACAGCCGTCGTTTGCCAATGTTATGAATATTCAGATATACATAAATTGCCGTTATAAATGGGCTCAGAATGGATTCGGTTATTGTAATTTAATTATCGTATACATACACACATATATATATATACTGTATGCATTTTCAATTAATCAGAAAGTCCCTACTGAATTCTTGTCTAGCTCGAGTATGAACATTTTCTCTTGTCACTATAGAGATGCACTTTACTTCCGGTTTCGGAGAAGCGTTCCCCTACCTCATATCTCTTTTGTATCCAAACTCAGCTGAGTTTCACCATTAAAAGATAATTGGAGCGTGTAAACAGTGCTTCCGTGCATCACATCGGAAAACGTAGGCAGAACGGTAGGTTTTGAATTTCCGCAATTCTTTTCGGTGGCTTTGTCATGTCTCGCTGAATCGCCTATTAGGATTTTAGTACAGTCACGGACACGCGGTGTAAAATTGAATGGATTACCGAGAATACAATGGCGCTATGAGTGCAGTACAGTTAAATAACATAATGTATGCTTCTATCGGACCGGTATAGCCACATAGGTACATTTGGCTGGATATTAAGCGAGATAATTAAAATTACATCGCAGACCATATTTCCATAGTAATTAATTCTATAATGAACACTCTGATTATAGGGAAATGTGATCACGTGGAACCATTATTAAATCGCCTCCTCCCGTTCGATTCGCTTTTACCATAATAAAGCATCCGAACTGCTCAGCTGGCTGGTTCCAAATAATCAATATTTCTTGAAATTAAGAATTTCAACCGTCCCCCTTTCGTTCGGCAGCAATTTCAAGCCGTACCCATTGTAATTCCCTTGTCCATCCCTCGATCCACCCTTCGTTCAAGCATATTGCAGAAAAGAATTGAAAGGATCTCGTTGCTTTGGTCGCGCGCGAACCGACGGATGAATTTCTAAACGGAAGTCGCCGGTGCTGGGTTGCCTACGGCGATCAAGAGGGACCGAGGCAGAGCGGCGAGACAAGAGCAGGCTAAAAAGAAAGAAGAGGGTTATAAAAAAAGAAAAACGTAAGAAGGAAAAAGAAGCGATAGGAAGAAATGGCGAATGGCAATCTCAGCGTTCGAGCGTATATCACGAAGCCCAAAGACGAGATTTTGTGTTATCTGTAATGGGACGCCATACGTTATGTCGGATTATTGGTTGACTTTCCTTTCAGGAGACGTGTGGCATTTCGTGCTGGTGGCATACGAGGGTAGTTCTAAGCTATACAAATGGCGCTAAAAGAGCCTGGAGAATGTCGGCAGTTTATAAAAGGGCTTTATCCTTTTCCTTGATTATGTATCAATTCTGCGAGTCTACGGATACAAGGCCTTATGAAAATTCATCGGGTATGTCAACTGTGAGTTGTGGAATGTAAGTAGGTTTTCGTTACATTGTAAAACCCCGCGCAAAAGGTTCGGCTTCGTCCTGGCCCAGGATCATAATTAAATGACCCTCGTGGAACGTGAACATTAATAATCTTTTCATTTTTTTTTTTTGGTCCTCGTTGAACTCACCGGAGTACAAAGTTATGATAACGGAACGGCTGGTTATTGGCCAAGCCCTTTTCGAGGGATTCAGCTTTTCATGGTTCTGCCTAGGTGGTATAGTAGCGTCAGCACTGACTTGTTCCTTTGCAGTTAAGCCGCGCTTACAATGCTTCGCTCGACCGGACTCCATTAATATCGTTCTTTTGTTTTGTTTTATATCTGGGCCCGACGTCGCAGTGCGATTCTTTAACGGGATGCCCGATGCGAGCGAGAGCCGAATTACTAGGAAACAGGGTGAAGCATTGCCATCACGACGTTACCAAACTAGTACGTTGCTTCTGTTCGGTGATACGTACTATTTATGCGCTAGAAAATTTTGCACGTAAATACACGAGCGTTATATCCGTTTCAGCGACAAATCGTTGCTCGCGCGACGTACCTCGCACGAGAATGAATTTATTTCCTTGCGGAGTTGCCAGAGACAACTGTAAAACCGGGCAAATATCCGCCATTATATCTCCTGTCAGAGTTATGGCTTTACGTGGAGAATTGTAAATAATGTGAGTAATGCTCCTTTTGCTCGATATATTATTGCGACTGTTATGGGATGTAGCTTTACGATTACGATAACTGCGTATACACTCTTTGACAAGGCTGTTCTATATATTTAGGAAGTAATTGTTCAATTGGACTTGTAAATGATTTTTTATTACTTTATGGCAGTAGTATTGTACTATGGGTCAATATTTCATAGATGGTTAGCAAAGTTATCGGTAAATTGGACAAGACGAAATCTACCCTACAGCTGGGAGAGTGGCGTCTCCTGTAATCCGGCTACTCGGAGGCTAGTTACAGTGGAGGATCTGAGATCGGGGCACCCCTGTTGCTACGGGATCTACGTTGACTAGGCGTCCGCACTAAGCTCGCTATCAATATGGATGCCCTGGAGGAGTCCAGGGTGTCCAGGTTAGCTAAGGAGAGGCGAACCGGGCCAGAGGGGAAAACCCCAGCAGCCAAAAGTCTCCGTGGCGTACAGTAGTGGGATCGCGTCCGGGAGTGGGACCGTGTCGGCAGCCTGTTCAATATCATTCGACCTGTAACTTTTTTCCGAATTTTTCAAATTTTTCTACAATCCGTTAACCTCGTAATGACGTTTTTCATAAGAAATTTGATTTTTTTTATAGGATTATGTCGAATTTTTTTTCGTCCTAATACATTGGCGGGACTGTGAAATGCTTTTCAAAGTTATCAGAGCTTTTGAGCAGTGCTTTAATTGGAAATCTTCAGCCTACTTACTTTTTTGAAGTCGAGCTTTCTTATTAGGTTAATTAAATTTTTCAGTTTGTGAATAATACCTACTGCTCTTCAGCCAATTAAAGCTCTGTAAATCATTCGCTGTATATGTGTCTATGTCAAGGATAGTAATAATCCAATTTTATAACCTTATATAGAGATATATAATTTTTAACTGTGCACCTGTTTTTCCTTATATTCCATATATTAAGAAACACGTCTAATGCTTATATTCAACTAATACACATTCCTCGTGCGGATTACCCTGCGACTTGTTTAAGAAGCGCAGTTAAGCATCGTTAACGGTTAATCTTAGTTTCGCCCGTAAATCGAGCAAGCCAGCCCTTTAACGCAAAATGTGACTTTCACAGTTTCCTCAACAGTCAACACTCTTTAAGAAAATAACTTTTACCGGGTATAATTTGCGCAGACAACATTCAACACGTTTCTTAACTCCCAAGAAATTGGACTGTCCAAGCGCCATAACCGTAGGTACAGTTTCACGAGACGCGATATATTAGAACTTTTAAGAAAACACGCGGCAAGTCGTGCAATTCGTTCGAGCTAGAATGACGTAACAATAAGAAAATCGCAACTACTTAAAACGTCCGTACTCTCGTTTATTACACGGTAAAGTCGTCGCCGCGCCTTTACTGGCTTTTTGATTTATGTTACATTCGACTGCAACATCATGGCAAGTAATTACTATGACCGCTGTAGAATCGCAATGCGCCCTCGTGATAAGCATACGTAAAACTCGGTGCTAGGTTCATGTAAAAAAGTAAAAATACAAAGCACGTTTCCACGTTCAATAGCCAATACCATCCGATCCGTCCATATGCCTTGTTCGTGAAAATTTATAGTAGAACCACGTGTCAGTCTTCTTTCATTTAAAATTTGTCTTAATTTTTTTCCTCATACATTTTTCTTGAAAATACATTCAGAGTATCGTTATTCTCATTATTTTATTTTATTCGGCAAACAGTCTCCGCACTTGTGTCACCCTCCGCTCTATGGGTAACGGGAAGCATCGTGTATCTGTCTGTACCAGTTGCCAACTTCGTAGGATGAACTTCGTTCTTGACTGTTCACGTCCTTGAAGTTTCTCTCGGAGTCTGTGGGTATCTTCGACAAGAGTTATAGTTGCTGAGAGTAACAGTCAATACCAGAAAGTCTTCGTCCAACTATTAAAGGTGATTGATATCGTAGTCTCTATAGAGGGACACTTCATAATTCAGTATTAATTGAATAAATAACGTTGATCTAGCTAGATTAACTCGTAGTATGATTAAGTAGGCAATTACTGTAATAAATTAAGGTTTTGCGTTACTGGTAAATGGGATATTTATTCATTACGAAAATTTCACGAATTTTCTACAATATCTGCTTCACCGGGTGACGTTATCAGTTCACGTGCAGGTAGTCACTCCAGCATTGTCGTCTGTTACGAAACGATTGATACACGGCCCGGCTGTAGTTTTTGACTGTGACAATACTTTGCGAATTATATGAAAGCTCTGAAATTCACTGGTGACGTAATAGGATTCTTTTAAATATTCAGACGAGGGACTGTTGAACGATGGGATCTTTTAATTAAATATGACAATTAAAATACAAATAGACTAACTAGCAAGGTAATTAACAACTTTTAATCGTGAAAAGATACAAATTTTTTATTTATAATTAACTCTATTTTTTAATCTCCGGCATTGCTCTTTGTTACGTTCGTAATTACCATTCCATTTTTGTTATCCGTAATGAAACATTATTCGTGATATAATACGTTGAATGTCCACGAATGTCAAAGCTAATGATACGGAGGTAGGAAAAAATCAGCTGGTATTTGTCGTTCAAATTGCCAATAATAATTGCCATCTGATTCGACGAAGCGTAACGAGAGATAAATCGACAGAAAATACAGCCAGGTTTCTCTTATCGGAGTAACAGTCGAACGAGCGTATCGCGCGAACCGCAGCACATAAGGGTGGCCACACAATGTATCTCTGCAGGGGGTGCGTGGCGCATACTGCACACGCCATAATTCTCATTGGCCTCTGATTTAGAGTGGAGTCGGTATT